TCTCGCCTCGACTACTGGCGCAGAGGCTTTTCTTTGTGCAACCAGAAACCTTACAGTGGTCCATAATGCGCAGCCTGTCTGGTCTTGATCAGCCGCAAAAGGTCACATGTCCCTCCGCTACTCATCGACCTACACTGGCTACCCATGCTTGCATCATCAAATGGATATTCAAGGGTGTTGATAACAAACACTCTTTGTTCAAGCAATACGATGCTCAACAGAAATAAAGGGAGTCAGATGACTTCACCTGACTGAAGAAGTCCCTCAACTTTAGTTCTCACTGTTTACTCACCTTGTGTACCTGCTGCGTAAACAAAATAATCAAATACATACGTCTTGCATTCTTATGGCCCAAAAGTACTTCCCTTCTAATGTTAGTATCCACATCCGCCACAATACTGCAGTTCATCATAAACTACATTACAAAGTGATCAAATGACTGCAGGGTCAGTACTTCACCCTCTGGTCCTGAATGTTTCCTTTGCAGAGACAATCTCCAGACCTCAGCGGTGGTCTGCTCCATCGTGCCCAGGCCTGCAGCCAATCAGAGGACAGGACTTGATGTCATCACAGGAGTTACAGTCGCATTTACTGATCAAAGCTTGTATACTCGAAAGATAAAAAGTTAGGTCAGGTGGTACAGCCACATCTGACGCCTCCAGAAAAAATATCAGTGAGAGTTCCTTCACAATGCTGCTCCTTCTAGCTCCTTATCTTACATTTTTGGTATTTTTGCTCCCTGATCCTATGATGACTGAGGGATAAACAGTATCTCAGACAATCAATAACGTGCGTCTTAAATACTTCATGAAGAAACTAATATCAAATAAGAACACGTTATTGATTGTCTGAGATATCTGTTATTCCCAGTCCATCATAGGATCAGGAGCAAAAAACACCAAAATGTAAGAATAAGGACTAGAAGGGAGCAGCATTGTGAAGGAACTCTCACTGATTTTTTTTCTGGAGGGTCAGATGTGGCTGGTACCACTGACCTAACTTTTTACTTTCTGAGTAACAAGCTTTGGATGCAGAATGCTGACTGTACTCGCTGTGATGACAATCAGTCCTGTCCTCTGATTGGCTGCAGGCCGGGCAGGATGGAGCAGACCCGCTGAGGGTCTGAAGATTGTTCTCTGCAAAGGAAACATTCAGGACCAGAGGGTGAGTACTGAGCCTGCAGTCATTTGATCATTTGAATAATGTAGTTTATGATGAACTGCAGTATTGTGCGGATGTGGATACTAAACATTGAGGAAGTACTTTGGCACTAAGAATGCAAGACGTATGTATTTGAATTATTTTGTGTTAGCAGCAGGTGACACAAGGTGAGAAACAGTGAGAACTAAAAGTTTGAGGGGACTTCTTCAGCAGGTGAAGTCATCTGACTCCCTTTATTTCTGCTTGAGCATCGTATTTGTTGAACAAGAGTGTTTGTCTACAACACCCTTGAATATCCATTTGATGATTGCAGCCATGGGTAGCCAGTGTAGGTCGATGAGTAGCGGAGGGACATGTGACCTTTTGGGCTGATCAGAGACCAGACAGGCTGCTGCATTATGGACCACTGTAAGGGTTTCTGTGTGCACAAAGGAAGAGCTCTGCACGTAGTCGAGCGAGAGATAACTCTGGCCTTTTACTGGTCGTTTCACATTAATGTTCTGTTGATGATATTAACTGATCCTTTCAGCTGTTGTCCTGACCTTGTGTACAACGCTGTGATTCTGATCCACAGACGCGATGTCATCGTCAACCACCATGTCAGAGAACATGAATCTGACCCAGGGAGCTGTTTCCAATGCGATCCTGAAGGCAGCCGGGTCCGGTCTGCAGTTGGCTGTTCGGTCCGAAGCCGGGTGGTGGCCACGCTGCAGCACGCGGCAACGTCATCATCACCGACGGCTTCAAACTCACCTGTCAGAAAATCTTTCACGCTGTTTGCCCTTTCTGGGACAACAGAGGAGGGCAGGCAGAGGAGGTGAGAGTTTCACTCAGGGGTTAAAAACACAGCGCGGTGATACACCAGTACAGAGCGACTTTGAGAAAGATTAAACGAATATTACGCTGAAAAATAAAATGCTCAGCCTTGTATTAGACTTGAGGATCAGTTTCCTTCAGTTTTTATGTCCGAGGCTTCTTTGTACCTTCAGCTTTTTATCTAAGAATATTTTCTCACACAGTTTTCATCAGAGTGTTTCACGTCCCTCTAACACTCAAACTGGTTTTACTTCAGGAACCCTGGAGGTCTGACATAACTCCTCTCTACTTTGCACTGAATTGTTTGGTGGTGACTCTTTAGTATCACCAGTGGCAGCATTCGTAACTACAGCTACCAATACTCCTCCACTGAGAACGAGTGGAAGAAGTAGCAGTAACTGCAATTTTAAAACACTCAATTTCAATTAAAAGTCCTGCGCTTGTCACTTGTAAACAGTTTTACTAGCAAGGAACCAGTAAAAATAAACATAATTCAGAAAAATAGCCCTCATGAGTTACACTGTATATTATTGTATTATAATAACTCATGCTTTACTGTGTAAGTAGCATTGTGGTGTTTCAGCCGGTGATGATGGAGATTTAACACAAATATACTGGTGGGTAGTTTAACGTACGGCAGAACATCATGTTTTAAAAGCTCATCATATGTTTGGTTTGTAAAATCTGTAAAATAAGTAATAACTAAAGTCGTCAGATAAATGTAGTGAAGTCAAGAAAAGTAAAATGTTTGCCTCTATAAATGGAAATGTTCCAGTAAAGTTTATTTCAGTGAATGTACTTTGTTAATTTGCACTGCTCAGAGCAGCAGAGTAGTTCAGGGGAATTTAAACCAACAACTTTCCAATCACAGGATTATTGGCATCTTTCATCTCCATATATAAGTTCACACTCACTGAATTCACTGTGCAGCTTGTTGACCTCTCAGTCTCACTCGTTCTCTCTGCGTCCTCTTTCTGTCTCAGGCGTTGATAACCATCGTCAGATATTGTCTGGAGGAGGCGGAGAAGCTTAAGATGGCGTCCCTGTCCTTCCCGGCCATCGGTACGGGAAACCTGAGCTTCCCCAGAGACGTGGTGTCCAGAGTCCTGCTGAGGGAGATCCACTCCTTCAGTCGCAGAAGTAGTCCGCGCCATCTGAGAAAGGTGGCCATCGTCGTCCACCCCAGTGACAACCAGACTGTGGACGTAAGTGTCCGGTTCATGTTTAAGTGCTCATCATGTCCTGAGAATGAAAACTGTTCCTTTTAAAACTGTTTATGTACCAGAACCAAAGAATTAGACGCGTTACATACTGTACGTTAGAATACTGCTGCTGCTGCTTCCACTGTTAAGTTCTGTCACATGATGGAGTGACAGTGTCCTCAAGTGATGTCACTTGAGTCAGCGTTGGTTGGGTCTGAAGACCAGAAGTCTGAAAAGTACAAAAATCTGGAGGTGTGGAGATAGAAAGAAGTGAACTCACCTGCCCTCTGTAGCCCCGCCTCCAGGCTACATTAGCTGCTACTAGCATAACACACCCCAATCTCACACCCAACTGTCTGCAGCCGAGTTGCATTGTGGGTAAAGTAGGCACAAGGAAGGAGAATGGATGGACTAAAAAGATGATTTCTCTGTCCATCATGAGTCTGACAGTGTTGTAGGAGTGCAGCATCAGTGGAGCTCCAAGTCTTTGCAAAGCACATGTTTACTACTGGAAAAATCACCTGTATTAACATAAGATGTCAACATATTGTTCGTCAGTGTTTCACCAGGGAGTTCAAAGGTCAGACTGGTCAGAGAAACGTCCAACACGAAGCACAGAACTTTAACGAGTCACCGGTTCACAAATCCACCGGCCAGTCACAGCAGTCCTCAGGTAAGAAGCCTCCAACACCTGTCGTTTATAACCTTTACTCATCAGCAACAGAACGACTGAGAACAAATCAAATCAACACAAACAGAAGAAGTCTGTAAATAGAGATTTGAGAATGTCACGGGTCAGATTAGTGAACCTAGCTGAGACAATCTGTGGTGATCTGTTTTTCAGATGTGTTCAGAACACAAAGTAAATGTTCACCTACATCTTTCTATTGACTCATCTACGTTCACGCTACTACGATTTCATTTTAAAACAAAAACAATCTCTGTTTTAGCTCCGTATCAGAAGCAATCTCCTAACACACCTGAAAACAAACGCATACATGAGCAATCATGTACACTGAGCGTGTGCGAGCCGGTAAAAACAGGAAGCAGATCGGCTAAAGTTGATTGGTTGCAAGAAATACTATGAACCAGGAACATTAAAGACAGTTGTAGCGTTAAAATATAGAATTAAACTGAACAACAGCTGCTAGCAAAGACAACAAGGTCAGAAACACTTGTATTTTTCATTATTCGTGGGTGTGACATCATCGTTTCCAAAGGTCTCAGTTTCTGTCCGTCCAGACTACAACACAACCCCAGAGTTTTCAAACTAAAACACAACCCTAGAGTTTTCAAAATAAAACTGGGCCAGCAGCGTTTCTGATGTGAAGTGTCTGTTGTCAGTGCTCAAAAACCTGGGAGTCATGTGGACGGGAGGTGAAAACATAGCAAAAGAGATGAGCTTTGCCTTCTGTCTGACGGCTTCAGGGACAAAACAGTGAGAGTATACAATGCTGTTAGAGAGCAGTGTGGACAGAACGCTGAGTTTAATCATGTGCCATGGAGAGCTAAGAATGTTGTTCACCTTTAACCATGATTTTATGAGCTAAACAGTGAATTGAGCTAATGTTTGGTTTTACTCAAAACCTGCCGACTCAGCACAGTGCTGTGGCTTGATAAAGAAAGATAAGATCCAAGTCTGGTCAAAAAATGAGTATTTTAAATAAGCTGTGTTTGTGTGTGTGTGTGTGTGTGTGTGTGTGTGTGTGTGTGTGTGTGTGTGTGTGTGTGTGTGTGTGTGTGTGTGTGTGTCAGCCTCCTTCGGTAAGGTATCGTCCCCCTCCCTCGGTGTGTACCGGATGGAGATGGGTCAGCTCACCCTCGAGGTGTCATCAGGAGACATCACCAGGGAGGCCAGTGATGTCATCATCAACTCCTCCAATTCAAACTTTACCCTGAAATCAGGTGATTGTTGCCCTGCCTCTTCTTTTCTTCCGTTTCTCTTGGAGTGAACGTTACCTTAAACGTTGTAAATGTTTCTCTTCACATACGGCGAACAGTTTTTAAACGACCATGCTGACTGACTTTAATTTATTTCACTTTATTATATTAAATCAGCACTTCCTGAACCTGTTGCTCTCTCCTCTTTGTATCTCAGGAGTGTCGAAGGCGATCTTAGACAGCGCTGGGTCAGCGGTCCAGCTGGAGTGCTCACAGATCGGTACGTACTGTATCTGGACCTCAACCGGTTTCACCAGAGTCCAAACTGTACAATGAAAATCAAAGGGGTCAACTGTTTCTCCAGCGTACAGGGGGGCCGAGTACAGCGCAGACACACGCTTCAATGAACATTTACTGTAGTTAGAGAGGGACATATTTTCCAGCTAGTCTTATTGCTATTTTACTTTCAGTGATGGAGGAAGTATTCAGACCCTTCACTTACGTAAACGTACCACACAATCGAGTCCAGCAACTCCCTTTAAACAAAAGGATTTTACTCTTTAACCAAAAGATCTATCTCTTAGACACTTAATAACAATCTGAACAAGCTCTGAGAGATAGATGTACTTTGTTAATTTGCACTGCTCAGAGCAGCAGAGTTAGTTCAGGGGAATTTAAACCAACAACTTTCCAATCACAGGATTATTTTTGACCTAATTGATCTTTCATCTTTATATGCAAGTTCACATCACTGAATTACATTGAGCAGCTTGTTGTTGACTCTCAGTCTCACTCGTTCTCTCTGTGTCCTCTTCTGTCTCAGGCGTTGATAACCATCGTCAGATATTGTCTGGAGGAGGCGGAGAAGCTTAAGATGGCGTCCCTGTCCTTCCCGGCCATCGGTACGGGAAACCTGAGCTTCCCCAGAGACGTGGTTGTCCAGAGTGCGTGCTGAGGGAGACTCCACTCCTTTCAGTCGCTAAGTGTCGGCCCATCTGAGAAAGGTGGCCATCGTCGTCCACCCCAGTGACAACCAGACTGTGGACGTAAGTGTCCGGTTCATGTTTAAGTGCTCATCAAATGTCCTGAGAATGGAAACTGTTCCTTTTGAAACTGGTTCATGTACGGAACCACAGAATTAGAGCGCGTTACATATCTGTACGTTAGAATACTGTGCTGCTGCTGCTGTCCACTGTTAAGTTCTGTCACATGATGGAGTGACAGTGTCCTCAAGTATGTACATTGAGTCAGCGTTTGGTTGGGTCTGAAGACAGAAGTCTTGAAAAGTACAAAAATCTGGAGGTGTGGAGATAGAAAGAAGTGAATCACTGCCGCTCTGTAGCCCGCCTCCAGGTCTACATTAGCTGCTACTGGCATAAACACCACTTTCAGCACCAACTGTCTGCAGCCGAGTTGGCATTGTGGGTAAAGTAGGCACAAGGAAGGGAGATGGATGGACTAAAAAAGATGATTTCTCTGTCCATCATGAGTTCTGACAGTGTTGTAGGAGTGCGAGCATCAGTGGAGCTCAAGTCTTTGGCAAAGCACATGTTTACTACTGGAAAAATCACCTGTATTAACATAAGATGTCAACATATTGTGTCGTTCAGTGTTTCACAGGGATGTTCAAAGGTCAGACTAGGTCAGGAGAAACGTCCAACCACGAAAGCACAGAACTTTAACGATCACGGTTTCACAAATCCACGCCAGTCACAGCAGTCCTCAGGTAAGAAGCCTCCAACACCTGCTCGTTTATAACCTTTATCTCATCAGCAACAGAACGATGAGAACAAATCAAATCAACACAAACAGAAGATAGTCTGTAAATAGAGATTTGAGAAATGTACGGGTCAGATTAGTGAACCTAGCTGAGACAATCTGTGGTGATCTGTTTTTCAGATGTGTTCAGAACACAAAGTAAATGTTACCTACATCTTTCTATTGACTTCACTACGTTCACGCTACTGAGATTTCATTTTAAAACAAAAACAATTCTCTGTTTTAGCTCCGTATCAGAAGCAATCTCCTAAACACACCTGAAAACAAAACGCATACGATGAGGCAATCATGTACACTGAGCGTGGTGCGAGCCGGTAAAAACAGGAAGCAGATCGGCTAAAGTTGATTGGTGCAAGAAATACTATGAACAGGAACATTAAAGACAGTTGTAGCGTTAAAATATAGAATTAACTGAACAACAGCTGCTAGCAAAGACAACAAGGTCAGAAAACTTGTATTTTTCATTATTCGTGGGTGTGACATCATCGTTTCAAAGGTCTCAGTTTCTGTCCGTCCAGACTACAACACAACCCAGAGTTTTCAAAATTAAAAAAACCCTAGAGTTTCAAAAATAAAACTGGGGCCAGCAGCGTTTCTGATGTGAAGTGTGTCTGTTGTCAGTGCTCAAAAACCTGGAGTCATGTGGACGGGAGGTGAAAACGTAGCAAAGAGGATGAGCTTTGCTTCTGTCTGACGGCTTCAGGGACAAAACAGTGAGAGTTACATGCTGTTAGACGAGGCAGTGTGGACAGAAGCTGAGTTTAATCATGTGCCATGGAGAGCTAAGAATGTTGTTCACCTTTAACCATGATTTTATGAGCTAACAGTGAATTGAGGCTAATGTTTGTTTTACTCAAAACCTGCCGACTCAGCACAGTGCTGTGGCTTGAATAAAGAAGATAAGATCCAAGTCTGGTCAAAAAATGAGTATTTTAAATAAGCTGTGTTTTGTGTGTTGTGTGTGTGTGTGTGTGTGTGTGTGTGTGTTGTGTGTGTGTGGTGTGTGTGTGTGGTGTGTGTGTGTGTGTGTGTGTGTGTCAGCTTCCTTCGGTAAGGTATCGTCCCCTCTCGGTGTGTACCGGATGGAGATGGGTCAGCTCACCCTCGAGGTGTCATCAGGAGACATCACCAGGGAGGCCAGTGATGTCATCATCAACTCCTCCAATTCAAACTTTACCCTGAAATCAGGTGATTGTTGCCCTGCTCTTCTTTTCTTCCGTTTCTCTTGGAGTGAACGTTACCTTAAACGTTGTAAATGTTCTCTTTCACATACGGCGAACAGTTTTTTAAACGACCATGCTGACTGACTTTAATTTATTTCACTTTATTATATTAAATCAGCACTTCCTGAACCTGTTGCTCTCTCTCTTTGTATCTCAGGAGTGTCGAAGGCGATCTTAGACAGCGTGGTCAGCGGTCCAGCTGGAGTGCTCACAGATGCGGTACGTACTGTATCTGGACTGAACCTGTTTCCACCAGAGTCCAAACTGTACAATGAAAATTCAAAGGGGGTTCAACTGTTTCTCCAGCGTACAGGGGGGCCGAGTACAGCGCAGACACACGCTTCAATGAAGCATATTCTGTAGTTA